CAAATTTCAAATACCCTTTCCAAGATTGCCAATTTCCTATCCAAGAGTAATCCATCTGTTAAACGCTCGTTCCGTCCTCGACGACGATTACCCTCACCCACTTCTGTTCGCTGCAGATGCAATTGATCCTGAAAATCCATCCCAAACTCTATTACAATCAAATAAAACATCCATTTTACAGTGCCCATTTCCCATGCCTCCGCTTTTACCTCACCTCATTCTCTTCATGTGAATACCTCTTCCAGCTTTCTTCTACTGTCTCAAAATCCATTCTGTTCTCTCTTTTATCTAACCCAAACTTACTTCTTTTCAGTACACATTTTCGTTTCTTTATCAAAACCCTCAAGAATTATATTAATTAAAACGTCTCATTTTATTTCGTTCATTAATTCGACCAATTTTATTGCTCTCCTGTTCGTTTACCAATTGACAGTTTATAACCAAACAACTAATGTAATTCTTATTGTGCATTCCTCACAACACTGTTCATTCTATCTACTAGACATTTCACATATAAGTCAGTTGCTTGCGTTCCTTTCCAGATTGCAATTGCGAAAGAACTCACTTGAACGGCCAGAAATTTGAACCATAGATCGATATTTTTACGATTCTCGCCACGTCCCAATAATTCGTTGAGTTTCTGACTGCGTTTCTCCAGATCAAGTCCTTCCATAACCGATTCATCCAATAGCACATTTTTGACTTGTTCTCGTTCCTGAAACAAACAGGTGCCATGCGGAAAATGAAAACTTAAATAAAACTCGAAAAATCCTGCACAAAAAAAAAACCCCAAGCATTCAACATTACCAATTCAATAATACAATTAAAAAACAAAAAAAAAGCCAACCGGAAGTTCAGACACATCCAAAGGTTCCGTCGATAACGGAATCACGTCCATGTCGACTTTTGTCTCAATGCTTCGCCAGTACCGTTCGGGTTGTTCTGACCACGTCCTGCGAACCGCTTCATCGAAATATCTCACCGCTCTCTTCTCACGTTTCTTTGCTGCTGCCGCTAGCTCCTGTGCAAACACTGCCCTAAAAATAATCTATTTTCAATTTTCACAAAATACCAATTCCAAATTTGAAAACAAAACTAAAACATAACAGATCACAATCCAACCAAATTCTTCCACATTACACTGATTACTCAACACAAAAGTGAAAATTTTTTTATGAATTGAATGAATTAAAAATTTCCCAATTTATCACCTAAACCATACGCTTTAAGAAAGCAGTTCTAATGAATAATATCACAAGAATAAAATAAATATATATTAATTAGGTTATATTGTTGTCGAATATGCCAACAAGAAAAGATTCTGAAATGAGACTATTGTCTTACCGATTCAGTTGCTCATTTCCTCCGAGTATTTGACGTGTGTTTATGGTGAATTTGGAGACCTCATATCGGTACGCTGAATCGTACATCGAGTTCGCTCGGTCCAACTTTCGATCCAAAACGTAGAATGTCGATGGCTGATTCGGGATCATTTTCTCCATAAACGACCACTTCATATTGTTCAACTGAAATTCCATCAGCTAACCACTTGCTAAATTTGACATCTCCTAACAAAAATTATCAATTCTTTGCAAATTTCCAAATGAAAATTATTAATTCGCGTCTAAATTTTGCACTAATTTTCAACGTTTCAAAAGGAACTGAAATGATATGAAAGAGGTAACGAATACTGGCTTACTGCTTTGGCGTTTGCAAGTTCGAGATCTGTCTTGATTCGTCGATTGGAAGAGTGGTTGGACGATGACGAGTTACGAGCAGTGCTACTAGAGCTTGACTGGTATGATGCTGAGGAGGACGATTCCGATTCTGATCTCGATCTTGACCTCGATCTTCGTCTTGACTTTTTTGACGATCTAGATCTGGATCGGGATCGTGAACTTCGCCGACTTTTTCGATGTTTTCTTCTTTTGCCATGTTTTCGAGAATCTTTCTCAGGGTGCTTATGTTTTGTGGTGATTTTCATTGGCTCCAACATTATCTCCTCTTCTGCCCCACTCTCGTCATCATCTGATGAGAATAACGAAACGACCTGAAAATTTGAAAAATTTCTAAATGAATCAAAAATTTCTATTGCGAAACGTTACTTATTGAACAAAAAATTGAACAATCGAGTTTAGATGAAATTCCTCGAATTGTTCGTTTACTTTCTGAAATTTTCATTTACTCTCTGAAAAAACTTAAATTCCTCATTAATCTGACAATGAGTGAAATGAATAACCTTTATTGAATGCTTTGACAATTCACGACGTTTCAGTTCTTCACGTTCACGTCGTTTCTTTTCTTTTTGCAGTTGTTTCTTCATTCGCTTGTACTTCTCATCAACTTTTCCCGATGTTGTGCTCTCCTTTGCGCTTGTCCATTTGAATGAACCATAGGATGAGGTTGTTGCTGCCGGTACGACTGATGCTGTAACTATTCCACGCTGACCACTTTCTTGTGGCTCATCCCTTCCAGCAGGCGCATGTCGCTGCACCTCTTCACTTCTATACGCCGGAAACATTGCTGCTTGCGCTCAATCTACTCCTGAGAACTGCGTAAAGCCTGAAAAATTTTAATAAAATAATCGGACTTATCAGAGATTATCATTCTCATTTTATCCGTTTGTAAGAGAAATCTATCCATATGCAAACGGATTGAAATAAAAGAATTAAACATTAAGCGCCGCTAACTATGCTAGACTGAAATGTGGATCAACACGATGAGTTTATAAGAAAACCGCTGATAGTCTACCACTAATATCTGGTCGTTCTGATCAGATATAGTCAAGATATAGTTAGTATTTGGGCATAAAACTGAGAAAAAATCACAAAAATGGTGGCCAGCTGTGTGCACCACGACAAATCCACGTTTTCTAATCCATCTTGGCGAATTGACTCATTTCTGCTTGCGTCTCGCCTATATCCGCAAGAAGTTATAACGCCAATGAAAAGAGCACATACCGCCCTCTTCTCAAATCATTTGAAAGTGAACTAAGCGAAGAATTTTAAGAGATATTCAGTATTACACGAAAATCATCAAAACCATATTCAGTTGAAGCAGCTGGATTGTGTACAGATATTTACTTCACTGATATAGTAATACTATATCAGAACAATGCAGTGCTATATGGATTTGCGTTCGAAATAATTTCAATAAAAATAGATAAACAAAATAAAAATGATTAAAAAAACGAAAATAAATAAATAATATAAAAAATTTCACAAAAATACTCCTTAAACAGACAACAAACTGAACGTGAAAATAAAATTTACAATTGAAGTAATTTCTAACAGAGATGTTTTGAGTACCTCTAAAGAGGTTCAAACTGCGTTAATCAGCGCTGAATAGTGACTGCTTAACAAATTTAACATGCGCAATAATAATTACAGTGATATATACAAAATTAACTTATCTAATTATCATAATCACCGTTAATTAAGTAAAAAATTACAATTAAAATATAGATGAAATGCCCACGCATCACAACTCGCAGCGTCGCGTCTCGGCTCATTGCCAATAATCGGCCGGCGCACGGCTTCACCGAATGAAAAGTTGGAAAAGTGAGGGGTCGGCAAAATATTTTAACGATACGATCCCATTATCGACTTTGCGCTCAAAATCGATCAGCACTGAATGATTTTGGATTTCGATTTCAGGTTGGGTTTATGACCCATTTCTGGATGTTTCTGATAATAGCGATGCCGATTTGGTGGATTCTCGGCAGAATTATAAGCAAAAAACTGTCAAAATTTTGCACCCAATTTGAAAAACCGCTCGCAGGTTCTCACAACGAAGTGTATGCATTGCATAATTATACACTAATCTTCCCCGTGATCATGCTATCCGTGCATGGATAATGTTGATATTTTGGATGCGGGCTCGAGATCTGGTCCCGTTGAGTTCTGTGAGGTTTCCAGAACTCCAGCTCGAGACACCCGAAATAATGAAGAGTCTGAGATGTGGTTTGTTCTCCTCGACTCGACGTCTGAAGTGGGAATTATCCTCTTGTCTCATTCTACTTCTACTTATCAGAGCCTCTTCGGAGTTTATTCTACCGTCTAAGTCATTTTATTTATAAGTGGAAAGCATTTGATCAATAGGAACTTATCATGAAGAGATGTCATTTTTTGTGGGGTTATTTCAGTTATCGTTGTTTGCGAGTAATTACTCAAACTTTGCGAAGATTTTTGTGCCGTTCGGAATGTCCGAAAGTTATGATCGACGTGCGTGAG